TCAGAGTCAAAGGAGTACGACACTTCCTGCCATACAAAGCCTCGTACGGTGCCATACCGATACTGGACTGAAAACTGTTGTTATAGGCAAACTCAATCAGCGGAATATGATCCTCCCAACTTCCGCTAAAGTCCAGAACACAAAGCCTCAACAGATCTTCCAGTACCTGAATCGTCCTCTCAGACTGTCCGTCGGTCTGAGGATGAAAGGCTGTACTGAAATGCAGTTTCGTACCCAAGCCTTGCTGAATGCCTTTCCAAAGTCTGGAAGTAAAGCGTCCATCTCGATCAGATACGATCACACGAGGCACACCGTGCAATCTGACTATTTCCTTCACATAAATCTGTGCCAAGCGATCAACTGAATCCGTCTGTCTGATCGGAAGAAAATGGGCTGACTTCGTCAATCGATCTACAACCACCCAAATGGCATCATGTCCTTGTCGTGATCGAGGAAAACCCATCGCAAAATCCATCGTTACCTCCTCCCATTTCCACTCAGGGATAGGCAACGACTGCAACAGTCCACCTGGTCGCTGATGCTCTGCCTTCACCAACTGACAGGCTTCGCATCTCGACACAAACTCTGCCACATCCTTCTTCATCCCAGGCCACCAAAACAAAAGCTTCATATCAGCGTACATCTTACCACTGCCTGGATGAACAGTATAGCCAGAATGATGAGATTCGTACAGAATCTCCTGCCTCAAGTCTCCAAACACAGGTACCCACAACCTGTTCTTACAGAAAATAACACCAGAATCAGAAATTCGAAGTTCAGGAGTCTTACCAGATCCAATCTGAGCAATCAACTTCGAATAATCAGAATCTGACTTCTGGGCTTCTTGAATCCGTGCTTCCAAAGAAGACTGAATACTCATCTGAGCCAACTCCAAATCATTGGAGGAAACCACCTCCAACTGCAATCTCTCCAAATCACGAATCAGAAAGTCATCACAGGTAAGCTGAATACCTGAGAATCCAGAAGACTTTCTGCTCAGAGCGTCCGCTACCACATTCGCCTTCCCAGGCTGATACTGAATAGTCAAATCGTAGTCCTTGATCAACTCGAGCCACCTCCTCTGTCTCAGATTCAGATCCTTCTGAGTAAAAATATACTTCAGGCTCTTATGATCAGTAAAGATCTCACACCTGACGCCATACAAGTAATGACGCCAAATCTTCAAAGCAAAAACTACTGCAGCTAACTCCAAATCATGTGTCGGGTAATTCTTCTCATGTGGTTTCAACTGTCTCGAAGCATAAGCAATTACCTGACCATGCTGCATCAGAACACAACCCAATCCTTTCAGTGAAGCATCACTGAACACCTGGAAACCCTCCGTACCTGACGGAAGTGCCAACACTGGAGCTGAAGTCAAACACTCCTTCAATCTCTGAAAACTAGCTTCACACTCCGGTGTCCAAACAAAAGGTACTGACTTCTGAGTCAGTCTCGTCAGAGGAGTCGAAATCTGTGAAAATCCTTTCACAAACTTCCTATAATACCCGGCCATGCCCAAGAAACTACGTACCTCAAATACCGTAGTCGGCCTTGGCCAATCAGCAACAGCCTGAATCTTCTGGGGATCTACAGAAATCTCTTTCTTTTAATTTTCCTTGCATCGAATTCCCTCCCCAAACTTCCTACCCGACGGCCACCACTTTCCCCTTCCCCTCATGCCGCCGGCCACCTCTACAATCCCCACCATTATGATGATCTTCCTCATCATAATTGCCTTCCTAAGTTAAGCCAAGCCAAGAGGGAAAGAATTCAAATTATTTGGAATTCAAATTTTGAATTCAAATACTTTCCTTATTTGGAATTCCAAATTAGGAAAGTGAATAAGTCTCAATCTAATTTGAATTTTAATTAGATTGGATATGATAATTCCTTTCCTAATTTACATAGCTTATTTTGATTTTGAATTTCAAAATTCAAATCCCCCCTCTTTGCCCCACCATTAATGAGGGTTAATAGCCTCATTACACCTTCCCAAAATATTATCCCTTGAGTTAGGAAAGAGAAGTCCCCAATTTTGAAATTCGAATTTTGAATTTCAAAATCTTTCCTAATTTGTCACCGTCATATTTGGAAAGTTTTAAATCTCATTCAATTTAATTTTAAATTGAATAGGATTTAATTATTCCTCCTCCTTATTTAGTGGGCTGCATTTAGAAGCTTGAAAATCCTCTCCAATTCCCTCCCTCTCTCAATGCCGCTGGCCACCCATTAATGGTTTCCCCATTAATGTCCATTAAAGCTCCCTACCCCTCTTTAATTTGAATTCAAAATTCAAATTAATTCTTCTTGCCCGACCAGCAAAGTGTTTTCTTTGCTGCCTTGCACGTTTTGAAGACTGCAGCTTGCTGTCCAGAATACTCCCAGCACCTTATAGCTGCTGTCCAAGGTTTTCCCAAGCATCCGAGGTAGCTGTCAAGAAATTTGCAAGTGTCAACGCTACTGTCCAGCCATAGTAGCAATCTCGTATTGCTGTTTTGCTGGCCTTAAAGTTCAGAGTTGCTGTCCAGAGTTTTCCAAAGTGCCAAGACTGCTATCCAAAGGATCCTGAACCTCTCTGATGCTGTCTTTCCATCCGAACTGCTGTCCCCTTTCATTTCAACCTTCCAACGACGTACCCGGATCGCGCATCTCTCTTGGTTTTGGGTAAACTCCTCCCCCGACTCTTTTATCTTCAAATTGCTTCTCAATTGTAGTCTAGTAGATTCATGACGATCACATTAAGGCTTTTCCGCTAAAGCCTAGTAATTAGAAGAGTTGTGTGAAGGATCTTCTTGTAGCGACTAATCTCACTGTTAGTTTAGGGATTCATCGTTGAAAACCAATCATGTACGCATCGTTAGATTAAATTGAATATTTTACGATCTTAACTCTTTTTATGTGATTTAGCCTAAGCTTGTCTTACCGCTCTTAGTGTTTTATTGCGTCGTTAAATCCAACATTAAGATATAATTCTTTGTTCCAGGAATATTACGTGTGCAAATTCATTAAAGCAATTCATCCATGCATGTATGTTTCACATCACTCTTTCTCAGCTTTTATCAAAATTTTTTCCTTCATCTATATTTCCATACTCATGTTTTACGTAAAACCAATCTCAACATCAAAACCTCAAATGCCAACAACTTGACTTCCAACTCATGAAATTCAAAGAATGTTCAGTGCTTCTTATGTATTCAAGCTAGCATTGATATATTGGTTTGCAATGCAAGAGGTTTGAAACAGATGTATGATTCCTTTAAAATATCATGTCATCATCATTAACCTTATCTCAGCTATTTAGTGTTGTCATCTTGAATCCTAATTTTTTATTCATTCATGTTGAATGCTTATTATGGAGTTAAACCTATTATGAAGAAATCAATTTGAATTACTTCTATCCATATTATATTTGATCTAGTCCCTATGTTTCCTAATCTTGTTATATTATATTTATCTACTTATCTAGTAGTTACATTTTTCACCCCTCATTATACATATCAAAATGACCTAACTATAATTTTATTTACCTTATCTTTAGGCGATTCCCCTTTTTTTGTTCATCTATATAATTATTCCTTAATTCATACTTTGTTTTGTGACACATCTTTCTTGATACTCTCATTTTTTTCCCACACTAAACTTAGCTATCAATAATTTTTATGTTGCCAGACACTTAGATCCATATAGCGACGATGGCCTAAGTGCAATTTTGTAAAATTGATTTTTAAGTCTCCATGGTTTCCTCTCATTGCATAATATTCTTAAGGCACTCATTTTTTAGCTCTTAATATTTAATCAGGTAGTAATTTCCTCTATATCCACATTCTCTATATAATATATCAAAGGCACTTAAACTCAACACACTTCGGTTTTATTTTATCTTCTAATGAAATTATTTCATAATTGTTAATACCACACTCTTTAAAATTATATATCACATATTTAGCCGTTCTATTTTTTCCAAGCTCATTCTTCTAACAAATTCTCTATTGTTATTATAAGCAATTTTTCTATGCAATAAATTTGATTAAACTAGCTAGAAAAAGCCGTTAACTTTGGATGATTGCTTGAGCAAATGTTTGGTTTGAACACAGCTCACCTTGGCCTGTTGGTTGAGAGCTTATGCTTTAACTAAAAGGTCCTGGGTTCGAGTCTTTGTGTATGCGTGGTGTGTGTGAGTTTGCCTTAATTGGCCTAAATGTCCCAAAAAAAAAAAAATGTTTGGTTTGACTAAAACATGAGAACACACCTCGATTCATTTCATACTTGACATTATAAATAATAATAATAAATTTTTCTTTTGAAATAAAATTTGATGGCCACCACAATAAGAATATTTAACAATAAATGAAGGGATTATAACAATGATCGTTGGTTATATAGAGGGACTCATTTATCAATTGAAATAAAGCCCAAGGCAACTCAAGGGCAACAAATGGCCTCTAGCCCAGCCATATCAATGAGTCCACTGATTCCTATTGTTGGAGGGCAAGTTGATATTAGCAATAAGTGAACTAAAGGGTCAATCCATGGATTGGAGTGGTGAGCTCCAATGAGGCACGAAGCCATTCAATTTAAAACTCTATTGTATTATGATGGATGATACTGACGATGAAGCATGAGAGCACATTCTTCCGTTTCTGATGTTAGATATTTAGGCTTTGTTTGGGACGGCTTTCTTACTGCTTCTTAAAATAACTTTTTAGTATAAATTTTTATTTATTTTTATTAAAAAGCTGCTTTAAGAAGCGGTAAGAAAGCCGTCCCAAACGAAGCCTTAATTTACCATTTAGCATGTGTCAACATTTCACTAACATTTAAGTTCGTTTTTGCTCTTCAAAATCTATAGGTGATTTTGCTTTCTGATGTGGGCTAGCTGGTATTAGGTTTTGACTTCATGACATGCATCTCATTTTGAAATTGTTTTGTGAGTATTGTCCTACCTTAGGAAGTCACTATTGTGAAAGTAATATGTAGTAATGATGTAGAGATAAATATTTCTAAGTAGAATCTCCTATTTAATGCAGGAAGATTTGCGCAAAAGCATCGTAGACCAGGTTAAACAGTCTGATGTTCTTAATCATGAGGGGTCTGAGGACTTGAAACCAAGACAGCTTTCAGATGCTATTTACCAAGAGCTTGGGTACGCATGGAGTTTTAATTATGTATGATTATGAAGATTTTTTATCTTGTCCTTGTTCAAATCATCTTATTTATTTTTAATTACCTCTATCTTTAATGGACAAAACGTCAATCATTTTTTTAATATAATCATTCTTTAATTTATATTTCCTAATTTCATCACATATTATCTTAATATTCTCTTCTCTTCCACGCTCAATTTAAATATCAATGACCTTTTACTACCCATCTCTTGAATTCATAACATTGTAGATCTAATTATAATTTTATTAATTTTTTTTTTTAAAGTCTTTATCCCTTTTAACCATTTAACATTAAGTTAATTCTTCAATATAATAGATCCCATGCACTTAAACTTATCACACCTAGTTGTCATTTATCTTTTAATATATTGATTAGTAATTGCTTCTATGCATATAATGAAAAAGTTTGATTCCCTTAAATTTATTAGAATCGTAAACATCTCCTTTATTTTAATGCTTTGTTTGAAACAATTTTTTTAACGCTCTCTAAAATAAATTTTTAGTTAAAAATTTTCTTGGATTAGAAATTTTTATACTAAGAAGTTATTTTAGAAAACAATGAGAAAGCTGTCCCAAACGAACCCTAAATATCAATATCAAAATGCTCCACCAATTATTTGTCTTTTTTTTTTACTTCAAAATATCCATTGAACAAATTTGTTAATCAAATTATTGCAATATCTCTTATAACTCAAAATCTCACTAGGCCTTTATTCAAATTTAGCTTATTCTACTTCTTTTATCTATAATATATTTCATTATTTTGTTCACTCATATTTTTCAAAAATAATTATTTTTTCTTAAAACTCTCATTAAATACTTTCCTAAAACAACATGTCCATATTTCTTTAATATCTTATTATCTTCACTTTAAATACATATAATTTGATCAATATTTTTATATTTCTTATCTTTTGCTTGAACTATTCTATTGACGGTAAGGTTTTATTTGGGACGTCTTTTTTATTATTTAAAAAAGTTTACTAGTATACAAATTGTAATTTTTTAACTAAAAAGTTATTTTAAGAAGCAGAAAAAAAAGCTGTCCCATACAAAGCCTAAGGTTTCGTTTGGGACGACTTTCTTACTGTTTCTTAAAGCAACTTTCTAGTTCAAAAATTAAAACTTTTGAATTAAAAAGCTGCTTTAAGAAGTAGTAAGAAAGCCGTCCCAAACGAAGCCTAAGGCTTCGTTTGGGACGACTTTTTTACTGCTTTCTAAAACGGAGTTTTAGTACAAATTTTTTTATTTTTGTACTAAAACTCCGTTTTAAAAAGCAATAAAAAAACCGTCCCAAACGAGCCTTAAGTCTCATTAATTTTAATTTTCCTCACTTGAAAATTTTCAGGAGAAAAATCATGGGCCAGATCTCTGATGAGATATGGAAGACCATCCGGTTAAATGATAGCATAAAGGATGATATCAGAAGTACTGTAGAACATGTTTTCAACAAGATGGTCGGCACTGAAGCCCAGGGGACTCAAGTTTCTACTAATTCCTCTTTCTCCCATGAAAGTCAAATCGCTGGAAGGGAAGCTAATGGTATTATTAAAACCTCGATGACAACTCCTACAAGAGAAGCAAATATTCTGAATTCAAACGAAACTAGTGAACCTGGGGCCTTTGCTTCCAGTGTTGACAAAATTGATGTAAGTATAAGTTCAGATCTACAGGAGAATGAACACAGTCCAGGTTTAATTCAAAATACAGAGGAGTTATTCAAACAAGCAAAAGATCGTCCACCAGGATTAGGCTCGAGCCATGGTAGTGGCGATGGTGGTGGTGGTGACGCTGATGATGATTCTGATCTTCCTCCAGGATTCGATTAATTATTATGTGTGGACACCAAACGCCGTCCGGAGAACAGCCAAAATGCGCCATGTCACCTCTTTGTTCGGCACTGCTCGGTATCATTGATGTGGCACAATCTGGATGTGGCGCATTCTAGTTGATCTATAATCGGCATTCTGCATCCAAACTCTGCATAGAACAATTTCTCCCAGGATTCAACTAGTTATTACTGCTAGGTTTGTTATTTAGTGTCAAAGAGAGTTGAAGAGAGAAAAGAGAATCACAATGATAAAAAGGTTTAGTGTGATGTGCTGTGGGCAAATTTGTTATTTATATTTGTAGATGTTATTTTCATGAAAATTTTGTCTTTTTAGATGATTTTGAGCTCATAGTTTTACAGATCTTATGCAAAGGTGCTGTTTGGTAGCAGGATTTAGGCCGGATTTGAGGTGGATTTGAGCGAAATCCACCAAACGACCTAAAATGCAAAACCAAATCTCATGATAAATGAAAATCATGGTGGACGGAAAGTTGCTCCTTTTCGTGGTAAATCTTAGATTTCTGAAATGATTTCCTCTTATTTGGCGGATTTAATGCTCTATTGGCGAGAGAGGAAGAAGAGTTCGCTCGTGTCAGAATTTAACGCTCTATTACCAAACAGTTATATAAGATTTATTATCAATGTTATCAAATAGTTTTCAGGATTTAACTTCCTAGGATTTCATAATTCAGATTAGAGGATTTACAAAATTTTACTTAAATGAAATCGTGGAGGCTGTTATCTAAAGTTTATTTAGAATCCAAAATTTTCATATTAACTACATGCAAATAAAGTGGTTGTTTGGTGGCCACTTGAAAATCTTTCTATTTTCCTATATTGGTTTGATTTATTTGATTAGTTTTTATATATAAATAATTATGGTACTGAATAATTTTAAATTTTACAAATTTGAATTTGCATAATTTATTAATTATATTAGCATGTATAAATAAAATTTATATTTAAATTAAAATAATGATAATTATATTTTTGATGTAATCTAAAATTTATTTAAAAATTAGGTATATACATTCATAAACATTTTGTGACATTTACATAAATCATCAGTGTACGCTACTCGGAAAAGCCTTCGCCACAAGCCCGGGGCATGCTTGTTCGTCGGAGCTGGAGGTGGCCGAAGTTAGTCCTGTTACGGAGCATACAACCTCGGAAAGGTCTTACATCCTTGGTGGATTCTCTCGACCTCTTACAATAAAAAATGTATTTAAATTAAAATAATAATAAATTAATAATTATATTAAAAGTTATTTAAAAATTAGGTATATAGCTTCATAAACATTTTGTGATATTTACGTAAATCATCCGTATATGCTACTCGGAAAAGCCTTCGACACAAACCCGGGGCATGCTTGGTCGTCGGAGCTGGAGGTGGCAGAAGTTAGTCCTTTTACGGAGCCAAAGCTTCTTCTCTTCGATGGCTGGGGTCGCTGTTGCTCCGAAACGGCTTAGGGTTTCGTCCTTCTCCACAAGCTCCTCAAACCCTAGCATTGTCAGGAGGGTAGGGACTCACAATGGCAGCTTTCACTGCGACGAAGCCCTCGGCTGTTTTATGATCCGCCTCACCGATAAGTTCGCCGGCGCAGAGATCATCCGCACCAGAGATGCTCAGGTATTCCCTTGCTTTTTGTCACATCCTTTCATTTTTTTTCTTCTCTTTAATGAAACATCTGAAAATGTAATTGTGTTAGGGTTCATTTGATTGATTGGAGCTAGGAATCATGGTTTGAAAAACGGTGAACTTCGTTAAAATCATCATTTCGTTGGACTAGTTAGGCATCATCGTTGACTTCAAACTTAATGAACTTCTCAACCAAATTCTCACAAAAGTGATGATTTTATTTTCACTCTAAAAAAAGTGAAAACAAAATCATAGTTTTCTATATTATGTTATCTATTTACCAGCAGCCATATGAGCCCTATTTTATTAGCTGTAGTTAGCAATCAATGTTAGTTATAAACTCTAAAAACACCTTTAAAGTACCAAAAAATGATAGATTTCAGAAATCAAAATATGTTTTCTATCTACAAGAAACCAAATGAGCTCTTATAATGGAATGGAATTTTGAAAGAAGTTAATATTAATGCATTCCGTCAAAGTTTATATTGTCATAAATGTTGTAATCAGAATTGTCCACGAATGATATCAATATTATACTCTCAGGTCTATGAGATTTTAGCCGATAAAATGTAATGAAAAAGTGAAGAGAGAGAGAGAGAGAGAGAGAGAAATGAGCTAGAGAAAATTCGAGCCTATAAAGAGAAGTTCTTGAACTTTATCGACAACTTTTACTGTACCAAAGCTTAGACCCCAAAAAAGGTCCCTAAAATGGCCCTTTTACATTGTATTTACAAGATTTTAGGCACTATAGAATTGACTGCATACATGGTTATACAAAATACATAAGTTGTGTATCTTAATTGTGATATCTGATTTGATGAAGTCATCCACAAAGCTCATAGAAGTTGTTGGCTTGTCTTTTATTGGTGGACAAATAACTATATATATTTCCATATGAAGGAAGTCGCCAACCTGCTTAGTTTCAAATGCTGACTTGATGTGTTGCAGTCACTTGGGAAGTCTCCTACTTGAGATGAGTTCTTAGGATGTAGCCGCTTTCTTGAAACGAGTTTTGAAGACTGGTGCATTCCTTCCGAACTTAGAGTACTATGGATTATATTTAGCTTTGAATTGAGCTAACTTAATTTGAACCTAGCCGACTTGGCTTGAACTGATTTTTTTTACATTTGGTTGTACAATGAACTTATTAATATGAAGGAAACTACTTGATTGTTGTGAATTTGAGTTCACTTTACTGGGTTTCAACATGGGAGGTGATTTTTTAAGGGTATGCTTAATTAATTTCTATTTCCAGTTATTGATTAGTAGTATGTAGTATGTAATGTTGTCAAATGGGTTAAAATTGTGGCTTGATTTTGAGCAGTGACTTTGCGTATTTTGCTTTTTTTTTTTAAGAACTCCTGATCTTGTTACAAGTACCTTTTTGAACAGTTGAGTGTAGTGGAGGGATCTTGCACTAATTTTGAATCTGTGATATGGAATTTTTGTGGTTACACCGCTCTCTCTTACGCAAAATGTATGCAAAAGACGTTTTTCTTTATATAAGAGAAAGGAAGATAAATTCATTAATGAAGGGTAAAGCATAGACTTTGAGTAGTTGAAGAATTGTTCTCTGAATAATACGTATTAACCTTGTGAATAAGGGTACGGTGTAAGTGAGCCGAGCTGGTTCTAGTTCGACTCGATAACAAGCTCTCTAGCTGAGCTTATTGACCTACTAGTTCGAGCTTGAACTGAAACTCAAGCTCGTTTATTAAAGAGCTAGAGTTCGAGCTTGACTAGGCTCGGCTCGTGAGCTCGCTCATAAATATATAACTAATTGAATTTTTTTCCTTAAACAAATCAACAAATAAAAATTTTCTCTAATAAAATTTGTTAGTATTGAGAAAAGCAGCCAACTATTTACACCCCCCCCCCTCTCAAAAAAACGTCCATGATTTGAAAAGATCTTATATTTCCAAGTAAAAAGCTACTTTGCATTCACGAGGCTGTAGCAAATTTAAAAAAAAAAAATCAAACACACAGATACACACACAACTACTGCATTGGTTCACAAAAAATAATTTAGAAAATAGCTTCCTCCTCTTCTCCCCTTCTCATACAACAACCAAATTGGGGGTTTACCGATTGCGGGCTCGAGACATGCAGCAATGGAATGCCTTCTTCTTCTTAGGCGACATGCTTTCTTCCTCTCTAGCAGTATCATGTGAGGTTGCCTTTTGCGTGATCTCATGAGCTGCTTTCAAGTCCGTTTTTATTACCACGAGCCAAGCTCCAGCTCCCTTTTTGAGCTCAAATCGAGTTTGAGTTCATGATTTGGCTGACGAGTCGAGCTTGAGTTATGCATGACTCAAGCTCGACTTGACTCATTTACACCCTTAAATGAGGGCATTTTCTTGAAGTAGCGATTGATGAATGTAATGGCATCTAGTCCGTGTTACTTTATGGAATGTCCATCATTTAAGTGCAATTGGAAATGAGTTAATCAGTACAAAAAAATGTACAGGGATAATTACTATATTGAATATTTTCTCCTTTCATTTTTTAATAAGCATTTAAGAGCATGCTACACATTTGATTCATGAATATCTAGACTATAAACAAAATAGTATTGGTAGAACGTTGGAACCATAAGTATGATGGAATCTATGATGCACCGACCCTTCTCCTCGATGAGGCATGCAGTGTCCGACACGACACGCTTCCGACACACCTTCGACACGTGTTGGTCGGACACACGAAAAACATGTATGATTAAAAAAATATTAAATACAAATTGAACATGCCTGTCCGATATGCGTGTCTTAAATATTTTATGAATTTTTAAATATAGTTTCTTGTATTTACAATTTTTATTTATTTATGTATAAAAACTAAATTTCATATTTCCTCTCCACAATACTAAATAGGGATGTGTTGGGATGTTGGGGTGGTATGAAAGGGGGATTAGGGTTCTTTTTTTGGGTATCTTGCTAAGAAAAGTCTCTTTCTAGTTTTCTCTTGCTTTTCTAGGGTTTATTGTGGGAGATCTTGTCCTTCTCGAAGTGGACAACTTATCTTGTTTTATTTTTTTTTGGATTTCAATACGAATGTTCTTGTCCTATATCTCATTTCTCTTGTGAATGTTTTATTTGCATTTGGTGGACAAATTCTTCTCTTGTGAGAATAATTAGGGCAAAGACAAATTGGTGAAATCTAGGGTGTATCAGAATGTAATGGTACATAGTCAGTGTTACTTTATGGAATGTCCATCATTTAAGTGCAATTGGAAATGAGTTAATCAGTACAACAAATGTACGGGGCTAATTACTGTACTAAATATTTTCTCCTTTCATTTGTTTAGAAGCATATAAGAGCATGCTACACATTTGATTCATGAATATCTATACTATAAATAGAATAGTATTGGTAGAAACTAGAACGTTGGAACCATAAGTATGATGGAATTGATCATCTTGCTTATTGATTAGTTCTTGGTGTGAGCAGGAAGGACAACTGGTAAAGTAGCACATAATGGAATAGGGGTGTAATTGATTCAAGTTGACACTTGTGAGTTTGTTCGGGCTCAATTTGATAAATGGTTCATGAGCTGAGTTCAATGAGCTAATGAGCTCAGCTTAAATTAATCCTGAGTTGACTTGTCAGTTTATGAGTCGATTTGTTTAAAAAATATTAATATATAATACTCTTGAAATATTTCATAATTCAAGGATTTAAATATAAAGTTATTAAATATTTTTACAATTTCTTTCTTGCTTGTTTATCTCAATAGATTTCCTTTTTTTACTTTAATATCATTTTTTAAAAATATTTTATTATAAAAACTACTTGAATTGAATCTTTTCTCCGTTATATTAAATGAGTTGGCTCGCGAGCTAACTCAAACTCAGAGAATTGATGTCGAGCTCTAGTTTAAATTTGATTAATTAATCAAGCTCAAGGCAGGGGTAACTCTTTGCACCTTTTTAAATATTTTGATGTATTAATGATGCATTGTAGTTTGCATGATTTGAGTGAAAATAGGGCTAAGAATTGGTAGCATGTAAGAGTAAATATAGGTTTATAAATAGCAAGCACTGCATCTTTTAATGTAGGATGGCTTAGGATTAGATTTTTTAATGCAATTAAAGTTATGAGATGCATGTAGATCGTGCAAGAACACTTAACATTCACATATTTTAAACCAGTAGATAAGTCAACAACTTGAATTATTTAAATGAAAGAATAAATATAAGAATTTGAACCCATATGATAATGTAATGATCAAATTAATTTGGGAAAATTAACAAGAAATTTGAACCACATGAAATCTTCAAACAGTTGCAATTGAATTATGACAAATAGAATTCTAGTTGTGCCAAATTTGAATAAAATTAGGAGAACTAACTAGAAAATAACAAATTATGTAAACAAAATAGAACCAATAAAAGAAGTTACCCAAGTAAGAAATTTAGGCATTACACCATTGCATGAAGATGACTTTCTACAAAATAAGTTGATCATAATTGCACCACACTCGAAGGATACACACATCTAGCTTGTACACACAATATTGAAAATTGAAAGAGAGTTTTAATTGAATTGAAGCTGTAAGATTTTAGAGGATAGTTTTGGTACAAAAATAACCTAATTTGATTCTAATTCATTCAAATTTAAATTTTGGAAGTATCCATGTTTCAAAAATTCCATGTGCTGAGGTCAAATCAATAGTATCAATAAAAACAATAATCCTTTTAACGGTTTCCTAACAAACGGCACTTGTTTAGCATTTTTATACTAGGCATCCCACATTTAGCATTGCAATAGAGTAGAAAATAGCGGCAAAAGAAATCGTAAAGGACCCCAGGCATATTTGGTGAAATTTCTTGGTAACAAGACCTGAAAAAAGGACTTTTGCAACCGTCCTGCATCATCTTTTTAAGTTGTATTTTTATTTAAAATTAAACTTTGCATTGCTTTGGAGTGGTTAACATAATATGTGCTTGTGTATAATTGGTTCTGTCGTTCCCTTGTATTGCAATTTGAATGAAGGTTGAGCTAAGAATTAATAGTATGGACAAGTAAATATTGATTTGTAGACAATATGCATCACAATATATTTTTATGTATATCATCGATTTAGTTTGTTTTTCTTTTGAGTGGGTAACACAATATGTGCTTGTTTATAATCACCCATTTCATTGTGCAAATTTTTCTCTTTGCATCATAAGACCTTTCAGTTTCGTGCATTTTGAGCTTTCAACTGATTTTGTGTTTCTTAGATATATTTTCTGTTGTTAGATAGAGCACATTATGTTTATGTACTTCTACCGACAAAATTTTGAATTATTCTTTACAATTTCCCTACCATGATTATTTGGGAAAATAATCTTCAGCAACTTGAGACATTGGATGCTGTACTTGATGTTGGAGGTGTGTATGATCCTAGCCATGATCGATATGATCACCATCAGAAAGGGTTCAATGAGGTTTTTGGGCATGGATTCAACACCAAACTTAGTAGTGCTGGGCTGGTCTACAAGGTATGATATCTTCGATAAATGTGGTGCAATGATTGGAGTTCATTATACAAAGGCTAGGATTTTGCTTTGAGCTAGTGTACTGTTTTTGAGGCTTACTAAGTTTATTGTTCAAGAGGTCTACAAATATGTGCATAACTCTTGGAATATTTATATGATAATAAAAGATGTTTTCTAAGATGACTTACATCTTCACAGTATCTTGTTTTTCATCTATTTTAATGTATTTGATTTATATCTTTGGCATTACTTTGTTTTCAAAATACAAACTGATTAGAAGTTGAGTTAGAATATGATTGATTATTGACTGAAAAAATAAAAAAGGCTTCCATTTATTTTCATAGACCTACCCTTTCATTGACCCGTATTTCTCCAATGCCTTATTTGTACAAATCAAACCGGCTACGAAAATGAAATTAGCTCATTCTACAATTTTTGTTGTCTTTTAGCGCAAATTAAATTGGTAAGAGAGTAAGTATTAACTAAATGCGAGGAGCTTTGGTTGGAAATCAGCCTGTCATTGTTGTGTTTTAGAGATTTATTCCCACAAAATCTAAATTTCTCTCTATAGGATTTGAGTTTGAAAATTAGTTTTGATTAGATTTGTTGCCAAACATATCTGGGATTAGTTTTAACAGCTTTGACTTGGTTAATTTCGTATTCAGAATTTATCCAACTCAATTCGACTACTTTGGTCTCCTATAAAAAGATGTACAAATCTGCAGTTGTAGATATGCTTGATAGGGCGTAGGATGAAAGCCATCTCAGGTTTTTGTAAAATAACCTTTTTCTAGGAGCCTTTTTGATAATTTGAGAATGTGCAGAGCATTCTCCAATGCTTATATTTTGGGGTTTGTATGTGCTCGGGTAATTCCTGCAAGAAATGAAATGTAAGGCCCTCAGGATAGTTTACTAAATCAATTTCCCGCTAGCCTTTGATGACAGGATGGATGATCAAAGAGATTCTCTGATGAGGACATCGTCAGCGATTTCGACACGTGTACTATCGGAGACGTCGGAGATCGACGGCCACGATCAGGAGTTTTATTTTGAGTCATTTTATGTATTAGTTTATTTTATTTTTTAGTTTTTACTATTTTACCCTTATGGGTGATCATTTGATATTGTAGCCCCGAGGGCATTTATGTCTTTTAGTTTTTGTTTCATTTTGGCCTATTTATAGGATGCCTCATGCATTGTATGAGATGATGAATTATTGAATGAAAAAAAAGTTTTGTGCTTGTTTGGTCTCTTAGTGAGCTCATGAGAGGAGAAGCCCGAGGAGGTGATTCGCAATACCCGTCAATCTTTGGAAGAGTCCAAGATTCGCGATTCTTACGATCTCTTTGTGAGTTCATTATTTTACATTTATCTTATTTGTTTTTCTTTCATCTCCTTTCTTCCCCTCTCCATCCACCACCAAGTGCTTAGCCTCCACCATCCAATCCCACCACCACCCAAGCCCACATCAACTCAGTGGCAACTCCTTCCCTTTGACCGCCGGCCACCTCCTCTTTCGCCGATCGTTATGATGATTTCAATCCTCATAATGATTTCCAAATTTGGATCAAGCATTCAAGAGGGAATTTGTGAGTTTTGAAATTCAAATATCAAAATTCAAAAACTTTCCTTATTTGCAAAATCTAAGGAAATTTTCTAATTTCGAATCTATTTGAAAGTCAAATTTGAAGGAGTCTTTAGTTCCCCGCCTCGTTGTCCATTCTTAATTGGAAAGAAAATAAATCCTCATAATCCCTCTTCCCCCTCTCTCCTTGCCGCCGGCCTCATGCATGGCCCCCTCCCATCAATTCTCCAATCAAGGCATTAATGACCACTTAATTTGAAATCAAATTTCAAATTAATTCCCCCCCCATTTTCATTCAAATCCTGAAATTAATTTCATGATTTGAAATAACTCCCCTCCCCCTCTCTCTAGAACCCGCCGGCCCCCCTTCTTGATGGGTCCCCTTAAATGCCAATTAATTCCCCTATATTCTATTTGAAATTTGAGATCAATTTCAAATTGATTCCCTCCAAAATTACTCAAAATTTGAAATTAATTTCAGATTTGGAGTAAATCTCTTCCTCCCCCGTCTAACCTAAACCCTCTCACCCAAACCACCCGCCCCCTCTTCTCCACTTTGGCCGCCCCTCTCCTTGCTCCCCCTTGGGAAGTTTGAAGCCAATAGAAGAAGAAGACGACCTAGTCTCCCAACCTCATCGTCATCGGTGCATGGCCGATCCTGAGATCGACCACGGATTTTATTCTTCCCGGACGTTGGATGCTCACTAGTCATCCCGTGGATTACCCGCCTCCGGCTACTTCTCCAAGGACTACACTTTGGGCGCCATTTGTCTCCTAGTTGCATCGCTCTGTTTGCTCTCAATCTTCCTCCGTTAAAGCTCCACCGTCAAGTGCGTGAGTGAGGGACCCAAGGTGAAGAGTTCTATTTGAAAAATGTGGATTATTGTTTCTCACCATAACATTACTCTCTATTTATATATTGTCAATTTGATATTGTCTCGTTAATCTAGTTGTAACCGCATGCCTTACATAATTTCGACTTGATAATTCTGAAAACCTAACTTGGGTAAGCATTAATTCTATAACTAGCAAAATTTTAATAATCTTATATTAAAATCCCCGAGCAGTCCTTGTTTCCATGCATATGTTTCACATCATTCTCATTGCTAGAAGTAGGTTTTGAGTTCATTGGGGTATCAAGAAGTTTGCAACCTCAAAAAGCAATTTCTTCATGAAATTAATAGCATATTTCTTTTGAGAGAGAGAGATGTTCCTTTCTTGCTATAGGTAAATTCTAACTTTAAGAACATGTTTTGTATGCCTTAATAACAAAACACTTTTTCAAAAATTTTATTTATCTTAAATAGCCTTTTTATCACTCTAAACAAATGTTATCAACATAAATAATTGACAGAGATGAGCCACATGGAGTATGCTTGATAAAGATGGAATGATTTGCGGTGCTATTGTGAAGGCCGCTCTAGATTAAAAACTTTGTTGAATTTTTCAAACCAAGTTTGAGGCCTCTATTCAAATCCATAAATGCTTATATTGAGCGGATATATATATGATTTTTTCCCTTGAGCAACAATTTTAGATGGTTACTCCATATAAATTGTCTGATTAAGATCATCAGCATAGAGGAAGGACTTATTCACATTGACACATTCATCGACAACATAAATTATACTTGATTGATAGCTACATATAAAAAAATCCGAACAAAGTTATGCTTAGCAACCGGGGAGAAGGTTGCAAAATAGACTTTTGATATGTGTGAATCCTTAGGCAACCAACCAAGCTTATTATCAATTGATCAAGTTGTAATGATGAAATTTGAGATTCTGAATACCTATCAACAAGAAATTATTTTAAACCCAGAAAGAGGGAATAATCAAATTCGTTGTCCTCAACATCTATAGCTTGTTTTCTTAAACAATTTTGCAATACTTTGTGATATATCATGTGAATAGTTATAGATGACATGGATAAGACAAATGCACAAAAGGAAATAGAGAGTGTGATCAAACGACAAAGAAGATTAAATGGACTACTAATACATTGTCTTTTACATTTTCATATGGCAATTGTCAAATGTAGATCAAGGAGCATATCAACAAAAGGATGTAAGTTAAATTTGATAATATGGAAAGAGGTGTTATTGTGGTAGGTGTTTGAGGTTATTATGTGTAAATCTTTAGAGGGGTAACATTTAGCTATGACAGTTTCCAGATATAAAAGAACATAGGTTGTCAAGGTATGAAATTTGAGGGAGAAAAAAGGAATTTTCATATGAAAAATAACATTGGTCAATGTGAATAAGCATTGGATTAGAGGATTATAATATCTGTAACATTTTTTATTTGTTTAATGCCTGAGAAATATCCATTAAATGACTCAAAAAGAAAACTTGCCATGCAAGCAAAAAGCAAGACTAAAGTAAACACAATCAAATACCCGAATTGCAAATGAGAGTAACATATAGAGCTGTGATGTGCAAAATATTATGAGGAGAGTGGAACATACACAATTAATGAGATAACAAGCTATCAAAATCACATCACCTAGATGATGGGGACATCAGAGCATGAATCGTATATCAGAGGCGTGTCCGACGATCTACGACCATGATCGCGTCGATGTATTTTGAGATTATTTAATGTATTTGTTTTATTATGTTATTTGTCTTTTATTATTAGTTATGTTGTAATTATTTTCCGTTTTTACCCCTTAAAGGAAGGTCGTATGTAAGCCCTGAGGGCATTGTTGTCTTTTTATTTTGAGTTTTATGTATGAGGCTATTTATATCCCCTATGTTCTCTTTGAAAATTAATGAATGATTATTATGAGAAATTTCTTGCACTTGTTTGTTTTGAGAGCGTTTTAGAGTTCTTGGAGAGAACTTTGGAGAAATCCCTAGGAGAGGTAAATTTGGATCACCCACCAACCTTGGAGACGGCCGAGTTCGTGGTTCTACCTTCTTTTTCGTTTCTCCTCCTTCCTCCCTCAATTAGCCGCCGGTTTTGAAGTCCATCCCACCCTATTAAGCCGCCGGCCACCATACAATTTTCACTCGCCATTGTGGGTCTCCGAAAGGATTCCGCTCGTGTGGTTCGAATGCAAAGAGTACGATCACACTATCCCGTAGGACAAAATGGTCGTAGGCCTTTACAATCGACACAAGCAGGCCGATGGAAGAGCAGATGGAGTTATAGATACGATTAGCCATAGAGGATAGCGGCTTTCACCTACCAACCTCGATGGATAATAATATCTATAACCCTAAATTCACGAGATTTCCCCCATTCGATACATCAGCTCGAATGGGGTTTATTTGATTGTGGGGATCGGTTTCCTACGGGCGCAAGCCCCCGTAGTTAATTACATCCTAAGCCTTGACTTAGGAAAACTCTCGATTAAGGATGTTAGATTATCTCCTCTAAAGTGGGTTTAGTGCAAGGGATTTCTAGGTCTTCCT